GAGTGATCTGCTATGAATGTTGTCAATGTTGTTAGGACAACATTTTTATAAACTGCTTTTTGGAGACCTCTTAACCCTTTTGTGGTGTTTGTATTTTTGTCAATCAGCCAATGTTTGTGGGTCTTTTGGACCCACAGCATTAATGGGGTTTTAAAGCCATAACAATTTATGTAAAAAAAAACATAACAGATTTTGACTAAATCTCATTTTCAAGCAATAAACAGCATATATGATTAATACCTCAAAACTTCGGTTAATAGTCCGGGATTTTATTTACTTCCTTGAACGCACCCTGCCTCTATTTGGGACAGGCGTCTATATGGGACATACTGTACCTTTAATTCTGTTCCTGCAAATCTCTTGCTCAGCAAAGATGGGAAATAGGCTATCAAATTGTTTCAGCCAGTAGGTATATTACTTATATAAAAGTAAGCCTATCCAATAACATTAATTAGGAATCATTCATTTGATCTAGCTCTGAGAGACTAGGCCAACCTATAGCACAGAGAGAGAAAGACCGACCATATCCTTCTTGGGTCCACAGACATCATATCACTTTTTCTTGTTGCTACTGGCTGCAACCTAGAATGAAAGAACTAGTGCAGAAATTTTACGAATTGTTTTCAACTGAGCTGCCTTCTACTATTCATGAATGCAATCTAGTATGGGCCAAGGCAAAGAATTTAGATTCTGCTGCTGATTAGCTTAAATTTAGGCAACTGCTAAACAAGTGTACTTCGCTGCTCAGGAAGGTCATGTCGGAATTTTTTTTTTCAGTAACCACTGAAAACCTGAATGACCCTAGTAAGTTTTGGAAAGTCTGTTTCTGGCAATAGTGTCACATTCTACCTTTAGGCCATGTTTAAGTTTTGCACTCTGTGAGTTTTGGTCAGTTGATTATCTGTTATTTTGGTCTGTCGTGTTTTGGTGGTCTTGTCTGTTGTCCTGTGTCCAGTCTGTGTTTATGGTGAGCTCTGCCGTTTTCTTGTCTCCCTTATGCACTCTGTGTTCTTGATTCTAAGATTTGGGTTTTGCATCTACATTTTAGATCTGTTCTGTTGAGTTTAATTCGCTGTGAGTTTACTTTTCTGGGTTATTATCTATCTAGTTATTATCTGTCAGCTAGTGTTTAGTGGTGTTTTGGTATTTTCCTTATTTCCGTTCTGTTCCTAGTTGAGTGTTGTCCTGTTTCCTGGTTAGTTCTGTCTCTGTTCCCTACACCGGTATGTGTAACAGCTTGTCCATGTTTTCTGTTGGAGGTTTGTTCCTTGTCTTGTGATCTCTGTTTAGCCTTGTTTATTTCATTGTTCATTCGCAGGTTCTGTTTAGCTCACCTTGTACCTGTCTGTCATATCTCTTAGGTTTAGTTCTGCATTTTGGTCCCGTGTCTTAGTTTATGTCTGTGTTTAGCATCCACTAACCTAGGTTATGTCTGTTACCCCAGTTATCACTCTGCCTGCCTGTCTCTCTGTTCCCCCCTGCTGTCACTGCCTGCCTGCCTGTCTCTCTGCCTGCCTCGTTAACCTTGATCCCTGTCACCTGTGTTGCTTGTTAGTCCCTGTGTATATATGCCTGGTGTTTCTGTTCAGTCTCTGTCTGGTCATTGTAGTGTGAATACACTTTGTTGTGTCGTGTGATGAGTGTTCTGCCTGATTTGGAGTTTCCTGAACTGTTTGGATTTTGCCTCCAACCTGTAAGCCATCCTGCTTTTGTGGATTAAAACCCCTGAACTTAATCTCTGCTCTGGTGTCTTGCATTTGGGCTCTCACCTCCTCTGCACTCACCCACTCAAATAGTCATATTAATGAAATGTGTATGACAAAACTGAAATGCTCACTTTTTTTAATTGGCACTATGTTTCATCTGGTCAGCTGTTCGATTCCACATCCTGGGCTTCTGATCAACCCTGTGTTGAGGAACCTGTGAGAGCTGGTCAGACTTACAGTTTTTCACCATTCATAGAGCAGAAAGTATATAAGGCTCTGAAATGAGAGATAGCCAGCAGGTCAAGATGTCTTGACCCCAGGTTTTTAAAATTGGCAATAGCCAAACCACTTGCGTATCTGTTAAATCTTTCCCGAAGTGTGATGAAATATCTGCAATATGGAAGTCTGCTTTTGTTCTACCGTTTTTAAGGGGGGAGATCCCTCACTTTTAAACAAGGCCAATCTTGAAGCTGTCTCCCCTGGCTAAAATTCTTGGAACCCTTGTAAATGGACAGCAAATGCTGTTTTTACATACAAATTCTATTTTATTTATGTATCAATCAGGCTATAGGAAAATGCATAGTACACTTACAGCAGCTATGTAGGTTTTAAATGATATCTGCACTTGATAAAAAAACAACAGTGTTTCACTTTTTATTGATCTATCTAAGGCTTTTGATCCAGTAAATCATACTATACTGAAACAGAGGCTGAGGGCATAGGTCTTTCTCAGCATGCTGTTTTATACTTTGCTAACTCTGTCAAATAGAACTTAGTGCACACAGTTTAATGGGCTAGAATCTGATATATTGCCTGTTCCAAATGGTGTTCCCCAGGGCTCTGTACTTGGCCCTCTTTTATTAACTATTTATAAAAATAATCCACAAATGTACAAAATGCCCAATGCCATTTTTATGCACACAACACTGTTATTTATTGCTGTGATTCCACATTAGCAAAAGCTTTTCACAATTTTCAAACTGCTTTCACATTTTATTTTAGGAATAAGTTTTTTTTTTTTTTTAAAGCCAGACGGAAACTTATTTCGGCAACTTTTCTGCCTATACTAGTTCATGGCGATAAATTATATACGAATGCCTCACTGTTTGTGATCTATTAGTATTGAGATTTATCTCAAACTGCAAAGCTCTTACACACCATTGCACTTTATATGCTGGGATTGGATGGCCTTTCCTGGCAACCCATAGACTCAGTCACTGGTATAATTTTATTTTTATTTGAGGCTGACTCCACTATAATTTTAGCTCTGTCGATTTATTAACACAATTGTTAAGTTGTTCTTGTTTTTTATATCTGTATTGTGGTATTGTATTCTTGCAACTTTTATATAACGACTTACTGCTGCCTATCTTGGCCAGGACACTGGCAAAGAGATTTTCAATCTCATGAGACTTTCCTGTTTAAATAAAGGTTTAATAATTAATAATACAAAATGTTACTTACCATACACAAACACATACATACATACAGTGGTGAAAGAAGTACTCCGATCTTTTACTTTACAAAGCAGCAATACCACAGTGTCAAAATACTCAAGTAAAATGCATTAAACATTTTTACTAAAGTAGAAAATTATTAGCATCAAAATATAGGCTACATAAAAGTACTAAAATAGGAATATATTAAACAGAAGAAACAGTTATTATCAAAACATTTATAATTTTTTTGGTATAATTTATATTCATTGAATTTAATTGATCAAATTTAAACATAATCTTGTTTATTTAATTTTGATGTATTTAAATTCATTTATTTATTCTAAATGTGTTAATTTAGTTTAATTTAATTGATTTAATTTATTAAATTGATTGAATTATATATAAATTGAATTAGATTCATTCAGTTTGATTTAATAAATTTAAGTTTATTTGAAATATTTTATTTATTTTTAATTAAAATTTTTAATTTGATTTAATTTTAATTGATGTATTCAATTATTTTATTAATTTGATGTAATTTATCAAATTAATAAAAATATTTATGTATTGTATCCAATTAAGATTTAATAAGATCAATTACATTAAATGATGGTTCCACTCTGGGCTCAGCTCTGTCCAGATGAGACAGTGAGATCTAAGATATTGAAGAATATCACAAGCTTAGAATTTCTTCTTTTGCAGCTGTAGCCAGTCACAAGGTAGTCTAAAATGTCTACCCCACCTTTTGTGGCATTGTAATCCATTATGATTTCTGATTTTTTGGAGCTCTTGGTCACAGATTCTCATATCTCTATGCAGCGCACTCATGGGTACCATATTTTTGCCTTTCTTTGACATGTGGACACCAAGGATGTACTTTGGCTTTTTTCCCCCTTCTTTTTCCTACCTTTGTCAGCTTCCTCGGAGCTCCTGCCCCTGCAAGTAAAACAATTATCACATGTGATGTGCATCATTTCAAAGACAACCTGCATACCCTGGAAAAGTTATTTATACTGCACATGAATAGCTTTTAGGCTATCGGTGCATGAAATATAACAGTTATATTGTGTGTGTGTGTGTGTGTGTGTGTGTGTACTTGCACACACTACAGAGAGTAAAGTGTGTGAGTTTCATGGTAAAAAACCTCATTATACACTTGTTCTTGAATGAACATTGAAAATGAGTCCTACAGACCTGAACACCACACCAGGGTTAAAGTCACACTCTGCAGTTTGTGTTAACTAGGACCAATAGATCAAAGGGGACTTGAGGGTCACATTATATCAGCGGTAGTTAAGCAAGTAGTGTAGAACATTAACAACCCTATCTAAACATATCTAAATAATAATCATTTTTGCACCCTTCCTCTCAAAATGAAAGTAGATTTTCATACATACAGTGAAATGCATAAATTCAGCTGATTAAAAGCATACAAAGGACTCCACCCCATTAGAGTAATTTCCTGCTTTCATTGCTGGTGGTGTTAATTGGTAATAAAATGATAAGTGGATATCACACAGCCTGAGGCAGTTGTTAAGCTATGTTTCTCCAGAGTACTGTCTGTGTGCGTGTGTGTGTGTGTGTGTGTGTGTGCGCGTGTTTGTGTGTTTCCATATGCATGAAAAGGAGTCTACAGATTTAGTCTCTTATGTCGTGTTTTACATTATTAACAGTTTCTTCACGTTTGACTAATCAAAGGAATCCTGGGGATTTATGACACAAACCACATTTTTCCTGCACACTTACTTGTTTTTCTTTTTTTTTTTACAGCAGTTTTGTGCTCTACATGCTAACTTTCATACATATTTTCATTGTTCATGTTTTTATAACGTGTGTGTTTGTGTGTATTTCACAGCTGCAGAGCACATTGTCCAGTGGGAAGAAGGCAGGTGACCCGTCTCAAAGGGGTGAAACTATGTGTGCAGTACATGGTTGGGACAATGGTCACTGTTGTTGCTATATGCTTTGTCAATCATTGTACATGTACTGTATATACTGTTGGTCTAATGCAAATGTTTTAACATTAAATAGTTGTATGTTACAAAAAAATATATTATTTCATTCTTTCATTCAGTCAACCTTTTCTCTTATATCTCCTTCAGCCCTCATGTGACCTCAAACCTATTTGGTCTTAGAGGGTACTTCGGATATTTTTTTAAACCTGAACCTTATTTTTACATATTGTGGAGCCTAAATGACTAATACGTACAACTTTTTCGCCGTCATCTTCCTGCAACTCGGGGGGAGGGGGGGATACCAAGAGCCAAATCCAGCAAGAAAATTACCTCACTGTCATTGGACTGAGGGCAGACTGGAGACTAAATGGTATCTTGAGGTACAAAGTGGTATTTCGAGACAGGATGGGAAGAGACTAGCTGGTATGCATGCTACCTTCCGTAGATTTCTCTGCAATACAATACATAGACGTCTTTGACATACCGTCATAACTGGAATTTTTTTTTCACATTCTGTTTGAAATTTTAGTTTTGATGTTTTAAATTAAAGTTGAGAAATATAACTCCTTCAACTGATTAACTTTCCAAAACTGCAAAAGTAGAATGAGTTTCAGAAACTGTGACTGAGCCGCCTTTTTTCCTCCTAAACCAGGTAATCATGAAAAACTTTGGAAGGAACATTCTATTTGCTGAAAGATTGATTCAGCACCTCGGACAGCGAACATTTCTGTTACAGTGTAATGCCTATAAAGATTACAACTAGAATTGTAATGGAAATGCCTCCAAAATTAAACTGTTGCTGCTCATGGCATTTAATATTTCAGACACAATTTAACACACACTTACCAATGACATTATGACACACACTTACCAATGATATTACTAATTTTATATAAATTTTTCATGCTCTTATCTTGTTTTTTTTGTATTATTCTTTACACTTGTTAAAGCACTTTGTAACTTGTTTTTGAAAAGTGCTCTACAAATAAGGATTATTATTATTATTACTAGGATGTATAAGGTATGATAAGGATGCATTCAGTATAAGGGTAAAACTGAACCTGAACTGGGGCGTAAGATTCACTTGCCCTCAACAATCAACAAAATAGATTCCTCAGAGGTGCTTAATGTGTTTCTGTTGCTGACTTGCCCACAGAACTCACTAACACAGTGACTCAGTGGCCAACAACAAAACTGGACTCCAGAGGAAAGAGGAGAGAAAATGTAGTAACAGAAAAACAGTGAAAGGTAAAGTTAAAACAGTGAAATATGAGTTAAGAAAATTAACAAGGAGAATTACTTTTAAAGATAAAGTGTAAATTTGTTTTATACAGGTTAGCTAAACATACAGTAAATTGTTTCTTGATCTGCAACACTCAGACTGAATAGTAAACTGTATAAAATTTAATTTGTAAAAAAGATCATCTAAATACAGAAGTAAGTAAGTAAGTGTGTGTGTGTGTGTGTGTGTGTGTGTGTGTGTGGTTTAAATGTGCGTCAGGTCAGTGGGTGTTTAATGGCGGCTCCAAGGTCAGACACCATGCTGCCCCTTCAGTGAACAGAGGAAGATCCTGCTGGATGGTAGGTGATGATACCCTCAGAGGGAAGAGAGGGATAAAGGCTGAAGATAATGGGGTCAGACCAATGTGCAGAGCTGCAGTGAAGTGGTGCAAATGAACAAAACAGGGATGAGATCACAAGGTTGAACAGCTGGGAGCAAGAAGAGCAAACCAACATCCTAATTTTCTTTCAGCTCTACTGGGTTTCCACTTTACTTGACACACTTCATTCTTTCCCTCTGTAAGCCAAGTATACAGTACCTCTCAAGGGCATAGGTTTGCATATGGACGGTATGGACATGTGAGTGAATTTGTTTGCATCATCTTTGGAATTAAGTCATATCAGATGATTATGATGCGCCCTCTCAGAGGTTTTGTCAAATGGCTGAGATACATGGGATTATAGCTTAACTGTTGTTTCAGAACAGTGGACAGCGCTGCGAGAGTGAGAGAGAGCTGCAAGCTGCAAAAAGTTGTTTCTAAGCGTCTCCCCCTGCTGATTTTGACCAAGCGGCATCCTCCGGATCTGGAAAGTGAAGCCAATGTGCAAGTGCCTTAAACCTGCATTCTTTCTAATGGCCAGCAGGGGGCAACTGCAGTGGTTGTAAAAAGAAGTCCAAATGCTTTAAACCAGAGACAATTTAAACTCAATGACAAAATGACTCTAATTCTTACTTGATTTATCACCTCAGTAAACGCTTTCCGAATGATCGTCTCAATCGCTAGTTTCAAGTCTTCTTCAGTAAAGCGTGATGTTTGCTTTGTAAATCATTCATATCCACTACACTGTGTACATTTAGTTAGCTGTAAACTTGTTTTTGAGTGTTGTCAGTTTACAGCTAAGAACTAAGAGTGTTTTCAGTTCATGAAAGTTAAGTTCGATTGTACTGAAAGACATTCTAAGGAGTTAGGCTGCTGATTTTTTTCTGGTAAATACATTTTGTTTTAAGCCTTTCGTCAAAAATAGCATTCTATTTAATATCACAGTTAACGTAAATGCACAGTGCTTACCAAGCTAGTTAGTTTGTGCTATCTGATAACTTAGTCACCAGCAAACTGAGTTTAGAGCTTCTCTCCAGTTCCACCCTCTCGTTAAAATATGGTCACTTCTGGTTCCAAAAAAAAACAAGACGGCCAAAATGCCAAACTAGAGGCTTCAAACTGGTAACGTTAGTCCACAAACCAATGGGGGAAGTCACAGACTATGTCCACTTCTTTTATACAGTCTGATTTTGACAGTGAATAATCCACAGTCCATAAAAAAACATTAAGCGCTCTGCTAATGCTTGCTCTACATGGTGGTTAGTCTGATTTGTTAATGCTAAGTGATAACTTGTCAATAATCATCAGCATTCATGCAGAACGAGTTCAACATTTCTAAAGTTTGCTGTAGCACTACGTCAACCTTTGTTTTAATGCCCCACCCCATCCAGGCTGTGATTGGTCGGTTCACGAAAAGTGACATTGATGAGCAAGTTTATGCACACGCTTGGATAAAAAAGCACCCAATCTTCTCCCTACTCCGTCTCTGCCAGTGGAGTGGGCAGGAATGAGTAACGTTCCCGGCAGCTTGTGAGAATTGTTGATATGAAGAAGAGAAGGTGGGACCTAAAGAAAAGGGTCAAAGCAATGCAAAAATGCACACAATGAATGCTAACTTTTAAAAAGAAGTAGCTGAATCCTGGACATTTTGGGCGATTTTGTTAGGTCCCAAAAAGAGGACATGTACTGGAATAAGAGTACGTATGGCTTACCCTATTTAAAAGCTATCCATTATATAAACTTTGGCTGGAACGGCTGGAATAGTGTTGTGTAGCAGGATGCGGGTAAAAAACTAGATAGTGCTCCAAAAAGGGCATTTGATGATTGGATGAAAGATGTTTTATTGGACACAGATCTGACAAAATGGTAGACGTAATAATGTCAAAGTGTGAAAACATCAAGTTTTGGGATACTTGAAATGACTATTTCTAACAGCTAACAGTAATAATAAATAATAAAAGTTCTCTTAGCTATGCTAATCTAAGCTAACCATCTCCTGGCTCCAGCCTTATATTCAACAAGCAGATATAAGACTTTTTTGCTGATGTATTGGTTCATGCCCATCACAACCTCTCTAAACAAAGTGTGAGCGTGTCCTGAATGTGTTTGTGTGTGTGAGTGTGTACTGTATGTGTGTATTTTTCACCTCAGATGCGTTGCTCGCATAGCTTGCTGCTGGTCTCATGGTGCCCCCTGATAAGCTGGTGCTGCAGAGGGTTTCAGAATGGCGCTAGTGGCAGTGGAATTAGCTTCCATTGTCATGATAATGACAGTGATACTCTTGCCCCATCCCCGACTCAGACCAGCCATTGTATGGAAACAGGAATGCAATTTCTCCTGCAGCGGCAACTGCCAATCCTCTATGAGAGTAAAAGGTCCCTAAATGACTCTCCATTCAGGCGAGGCTGAGGGGCTAGCAGCCAATTAAAGTGGGAGCAGCAGAACAGCGCCATCCCAAAGACCTAAGGCTAACTCTAAACACACACATTAAGCAACACCAAGACACACATATCCCCCCCCACACACACACACACCCACTCACCCACCCATTAGTCCCTGTATTTTCCTTTTACAATGAACATCTAATACTCTAAAATATCTTTTTCCTTACAGACCCGATTCTTTGGGGGGCAGTTTGCAAAAAATAACTCAAGAGGTGTATTCAGCACAATATGTACACAGACTCAAGAACATGAGTTATTGATTTGAAAATGCTTAGATATTGGAGTTGGGGGACAGAGTTCCTGAGCAAAGTAGAGACACTCTCCAAGACCATCCATCATGGTTAAATTCTTTGCTGGTGTTTATGGTATGAGACAGTCTCCTCTGGGTGTTTATCTGGCAGCTGAGGCAGAGTCACGATGGAGGGTGAAGGGTTTTGAAAGTGTTCACTCTACTGAGCTGTGAGTAAAGTGGATGTCTGCCGTGAGGCTCTGAGAGCCTTGAGCTGGGAAGAAATCCATTGAGCCAAATAAGTGTGTTTTAAGCAACACCACTAATAATCACCTAGCCCTGACAATGACTCAGAGATTCTCCTCAGACCAAAACAGTTGTCTTGAATGCCTTGTTTATTCTGTAGCCAGTGAAAACGCCCTGTGATAACTGATAACATACTGTATATTTTAAATACATGTCTATCTTTAATCATTTATATTTTTTGTAGTTTTACCAGCCTTCTGCTCATTGAGAAAATGTCCTGTTTGGGCATAGATGATCTCCTTTGTCAACCCTTCTAACTTAAATCTTGTATTATTGATATTTGTCACTTGCTAGCACACATACAGAAATAGTTATGTCAAGAAAAAGAGAGAGAGAGTGTTGAAACCCTGGCTTGGACAAATTCCATACTTTACAAATACTAGCTGTTGTAGGAAATTATTTAGCCTCTAAAAAAAATAAAACTAAGGAAACTTTGTGACTCATTTGTAAAAATCATCAGTATGAGCTTGAGTCTATTACAGTAAGAGTACTGAAGAAGAC